TCTGTAGGTTGCGTTGCGGTTATCCAAAATAAGACTTGGATATCTAGTTTTGGCCGGAACATTGAACGCAGATTAGAATTCTGGTTCTTTAGACAGTTGATCTTCATGTTATTTGAGTCACTGATCACGAAGCTAGTCCTTTTTACTACATCGTAATGTCCGTTTAACTTAATGTCCGTTTGTGATAACGGACTTGCTTTTGTTCAAACGATCTATGTAATGGTTTTCTTTTAGGTGTTACTGGAACTGTTTCTATATCTCGTTTTAAATTCCAGCAGTAGTCTGCCATCATATTTATACCCCATGTTCCTTGATAGCGCTTTTCCATATCTTTCATGTCTTGATGACATCTCTCTCCATGCTCTTCACTGAAATCACCTAATTTTTCTGGAAAGAAACGAGATGAGAGTCTACAAAATGCAATTTGATGCTCATATTACATCCTGAATTCTTATAGTTTTCAATCATAACACCTACTAGTTTTTTATAATTCGGACTTTTATTGTTCCCTAAAAAATACTTAGAAACTGCATGGAAGCTAGTCCATGCCGTTTTCTCTAAATTTGTCATTTGAGATGTAAAATTGGGATAATTGAAGAGCGTTCGGATCTGTGGACCATCAAAAATACATGCCTTTAGCTTGGCTTCACTGAGTTTGAGCATTTTTTTCACTATATATCTAAAGCAATCTCCATCTTTATCTAGAGCTCTGACAAATTGCTTCATGAAACCAAGTTTGAGATGCAGTGGAGCAATTAAAATTTTTAATGTATCTACAAGAGGCGGCTGAATGACGTTGGACGATCCAGGCTGCAGAGAATTTCTCGTTGGCCATTCCTTTTTGATGTAGTGATTTTGACGATCCCTGCTGTCAAAAAGGCACAAGAAGCAAGGGTATTTAATATTCCCGCTCTGCATCCCAAGAAGAATTCCAATGATTTTGAGGTCACCACAGATTCTCCATTGATGTTCTTTGTAACTGATTTTTTCTAAAATAATTTTCATATTTTGGTAAGATTCTTTGAGAAGTGTAGAGTGAGCTATGGGTATTGGAGCCAGTACATTCGTATTGTGGAGCAATATCACTTTCAAACTGCGAATAGAAGAATCTATAAACAGTCTCCACTCATTCGGCTTGTAGACATTAACTTTGAAACTATTTATAAGTCCGTTGATATCATTGCAATACACCAATCCCACTGTATCATCTTTAGTAAAGAAACGTCGAAACTCTTGGTCTCTGTTCCTATAAATTGAAATCTTTACACCTTCTTCCAAAAGATTCTTTTGTTTCAGCCTTGAAGCCAAAAGTTCATGAGCTTCCTTTGAAAGTCCTAACTCTCTTCCTAAGTTACTCAATTCATTCTGCATAAATTTTGCAGGCACCTTATTCCTTTCATCCTGGTTTTCGTCACTTTCACTTCCTTTGTCTGTCTCTATCTCGCTGTCACTTTCCTCTGTTTGTACTTCTTCGGTACCTATTTCTTCATTGGCCAGGACGTCTACAACAGGATTCTTGGCATTACCACTATTTTTTGAAATCAAAACAGCTGGAATTACTTTATCGGTAAAAATATATTTGATTTTTGATTTATTTTTCCTATTGTACCCGTGAGTAATGGTATTGCAGAAGAAACAGTCTTGTTTTGCTTCTGGCATATTCCATGTCACTGATACAGAGTATTCCAACTTTGAAAGGTCCTTTTTCATATAACATGTCAGCAACATTTTATGACAGCGCAGACAAACGACATGTGGAACCCAATTCTCATCTTGATTCAATATTTCTGATGAAAAACAATAACTGTATGCAGTACGCACAGCACGAGTGATATTTTTCCGGCTATATGGTGGTGCGTATGCAGCACAAACGTAACAAAAATAAATTGGTTTTTCCGGGTTGTCATGCTCATGTCTAGAGGTTCTGGCTATACTTGTAGCTTTATACTTTGGTAAGGCCAAGTTAGCCACCTTAACAAAGCTACGGTCGCATGATGACGACACCTGCGGGCTCGCTTTCTCACCCTGATCAGCCGCCGATACTGGGGATCCGACCCCCTGCATCGTAAGTTTTTCCGGTGTGTTTGCCATGACGGCATGAGCATCATGACCCAGGAACTTTGCCGGATAGCGAGACAACTCCATTGCCCGCTGTCACCACGGGGAGGTGTCCTGGATGCAAACACATGGAAAAAACCGCTGCCAACAGATTCCAAAATTAGATATCTAAGTCTTATTTTGGATAACCGCAACGCGACCTACAGAAGTCGGTTTAAAAAAAAAGTTACTACGTATTCGGACGTAAAATTTTCCGCTCTTTCAGAATCTGGAGTCAAAAATATTGTATCATCCGATTTGAATGATTTGACCTCTGTTTGACCTTGATTCTGACATGTTGAGGTTCAAAAAAGATTGGATTTGGAATCAGGAATCCCAAAAATATATTATGAATTTTTTAAAAATTTTTTAACGGGTCGATTCGCAATTTGACCTTCAAATGCCCTTAACCCTGACGTGAAGAGTCAAACGGACCCCGGATTCGGATTCAGCGACCTCAAAAACATAAAGAACATACAGTCAGATATCGGGGAAAATACTTTCATGTTTTTTTGTGGAGCTGTGTTATATTTAATGAAGTGATATATTGTTTGTACACCATTTACCGACACAAATATCATGGCGGGTACGCATGTGTGTATATATAAGTAACAGAACACAAATTATAATATAAAATACCGGTTACATAAATATTTATAAAAAATAAGCTGTCAAAATCACTGCTTCACGATGCATATTATGGAGTAACTATTTACTATAGAAAATCGGAGTTATAGTGAAAAGTTAACAGATTTATAGGAAAGTCGTTTTTTGAAATTTCTATATTATATCGCTTTTTAATATTATATTAAATATCTACAAATAATATATAATTTCTTTCGTAGAAAATCACGAAGAAAAATATTTCTTCAAAAAAATGCTACATTTCTAAATGCTCATTTAGATCATACATACAATAATGAAGGAAATAGGTTCAAATTATACACACCATGTGACAAAAAAGCGTTTTCGACAATTGTCGGCGATCAGTGTTTTGAATTATTGACATTGTTGCTGATTTGATTAAAAAGCATGCATGCGTGTATAAAGTATGCGTAAAGTGTAACGATGAACGTTATATCCGCGCTCTCATCTCGCCAGAACGACTACCCGAGAGAGGCAGCACAGGCCAGACATAAGTTGAGGGTGCGTATTACGCGGGAAGAGTGAGAAGAGAGATTTTTAATGTAAAATCGACTGTCCGTTTTTATTGACATTTTACACGAATCTTTTATCCTTTAGACAATGTGTATAGACGATTGTGTAGAAGCTTCTGTAGAAATATGTGCACAATTGAAGAACTTTATAGCAAAATAACATCTTTTATAGCAATAGGTGGCTAAATCAGCACTTAACTAATGTCCGTGACTTTAGTAGTTTTGTTTAACCTGTGCTGTAACCTCACAAAGCAAAACAGACCTATCTTAAGTCATGCACGAACCGTAAGTGTTGATTGCGTCACTTATGCTGATTACACAAAATAATTATTGTTATGATCGTTTGTCCTCAAACGCTATTAGCTATGTCATGCCGTGTAATAATGGCTACTTAAGTACCATTATACACAATTTTATTATAGTGTGTTAAGTACCGTAATATACTATAACTAAACTATGTTTCAAGTGACTGCAGATTATAGTATATGGGACATTCTACTGAAAAGATACAAATCAATTTTCTAGGTTAACAATACTATTATTGTTTTTATTCCTTCTCACACAGTGAATATTTAGCAAAAAATATTCTCTTTTTAAAGAAAAAAAGGACAAGTTTGTATCAAATAGTTTCAGAATGGGAAATGAAAAAGTTTCATCTCCAAAGCCTTTTTATGATGTCGCCAACAGTATTTTTAGATTTAGTAATACTATAGTGTTATAGTATATATACATACTCTATATAATTTTTCATAGAATCTTTTCATAAAAGTTATAAGTATGTATATTTACTACTGATTCGGTCAATTTAAAATTAAAAAAAAATTTTTTGTATAATACTTGCCTCCATACAAATGTTTATACATGGTAAACTGAATGAAATTTTCTTTATAATTTGTACTGTCTATAATTCGTATTATTTAACGAAGAAGTTCCCGCAAATAAAAATGAAAATAAATTATGTTATGGTGGATTTTCTATCAATTTCACAATCATTTAATAATAGTATATAAAACAACAAAAAAAGTTAATGGATAGATATTATTATAAATTTAAACTGACGAATATTTTATTTTTATATACTTTTGTAGAGTATCATTCAAATTTATTAAAATAATTCATTTAACATAACTTTTTTATTAGAGCAATATTATTTATTAGCCTCGATTCAGAAAATCAATTAGTTTCCAAAGATAATCAAATTATTTTATTATTCGAAAAATGAATGGAAGTTCCGATTCGAAAACTTTTTCATGAAATAATAGTCAATTAATCATAATCGATCACTATTCTTAAATATTCATGAGAAATAGTACATAACCACTCAATTAAATTTCGTTTAATAAACGCTGATACATTATCAGCAATTTCTCATTTATTTTTTAATGAAATATTTTCACAAGGGATATAATAATAGTTCATTATTCAGAAAAATAAACTATTTAGAATGGTTTCGTATTTCAATATAAAAATACATAAAGTGATAATATTAATGGGTAATATTATTTATAAGTATTGAAACGATGTAGTAATGTTGAATTTACTTGTTCGTTTCTGAGTAACTATAAAATAATAAATAAATCGTAAAATCCTTAATTAATTGAGCCTAACTTTCTAACATACAGCAGATTTCTATGCCAAAAAAGATTCACAACAAAACCAAAACTAGAGGTGATGGAAAATTACTTGTTGAGTGCGTCACATTGTGGAATTGCATGTGGTAACTTTTGCGCAACCGCGCAAATGTACCTGAAGGACGAGGAATATTGTAGCAAAAATGATGACAGAAGCAATACAAATGGACACAGCAACAGTTGTGGTAACAGCGAAAGTGTAGTTGGTAGAGTTATGTTTTCCAGTTAAACTCGAAAATCCTTCTGCTGTTGACATAATGTTGATTTGAGTCATTCGTCCAGGTAAAATTTCCATACTTGATACTTTTCTTTTTCCAGCTGGCGAACTATTTCTGCATCCACCTGTATGGTATATTAGTATTAGATTAACACGAAGGCCTTTGACGCATGTTGATTTAATTACTTTCATATATTATATTTTTTAATTCTTGAAAACATATATATTAATTTTATTGACAAACTAAATTTAGAGATACGTTGCATTTCATCAATTTATGTGATGAATATATAGACTTACTTTAAATAGTCATTTGATGTAACTTTTGAATTAAAATATTTTTATCGGATTTGAATGTTATTTAACATTTAACACGCATAGAATCTACATAATAGACGTTATGTATGGATTTTAAGATAGAAAAAATGTGGATCTTAAGAAGGTCTAGTAATTTTTGTGGTAATGTTGATTTTCAGTTACGTTTTAGTGCAGCTCGAACTTGCCGCTAAACGCATCGAATAGCCGCATCCTCATACAGCATTACTTCAAGTTTTATTAAACAAACTCTTAACTCATATAATTCAACCTACTATCCAGGGTGATTCTCAACTATTTCAATAAATCTAGAGACACAAATCAATCGATTTTTTTTCAATTTACGCTTTTGTTATATATGTGACATTCCGAGTCACGGTAGCTGACAGTCTAGCAATAAAATGCCAGAAATTGTGATGTATCGTCGAATTTTTATTAAAAGCAAATCTTTGGAGAATGCTATCACTATTGCGCTCGGTATTTACTTTGTTCTTATCGATTATAGAAACTTTATAGAAATTAAGAGCAACTAAAGGTCGTATCACTTGTAGAATCCTTTATTATCTAATAGAAAACTTTGGCCAATTCTAGTCCTAAGTTAGAAAGGTTCTATCATTAAAAAAAAAAAGGAATAGAATAAAGGGTGTAAAGAAAAAGTGTAAATAATTATTTTTAGTTGTTAACTTTTATTAGAAGATTTTTTTTATTTATAAATAGCCTAGCAGGATACAACTTTTTATATTTTTTTAGCTCACTGTTTCTTTGTATATTTTATTATTGAATCCCGCCATTATTGTCGAGTACTGCCATTTACAGCCATGTACTGTCGCGGAGCAGATGCACAAAGCTTTTGATATATAGACTTAGGAAATCTTTCTTAATAAAGGACATAAAGGTAACTTAAAGATCTCCTTGAGATAACTAAAGCCGCCAAATATTGTTCTTTTGTGTTTCCAGTTCCTATTAGAGATGGCATCTCAAGTACTAAACTGATTTTGAGCATAATTAACGACGCTATTAGATTATTTTTTGTTAGTGCAAAGCTAATTACTATTTAATGAACTTAAATCAATTACAAGCTTGAATTTTTTATTTTAAAACAATTATAAGTTCAATTATACATATTATTCATTAATTATGATTTATCACTTTTTTCATCATTTTTAATAAATTGATATTATATTGAAACAACCACCAAACAAATATTCTACAACATGTTTTATTTAAGGTAATTGTATTAAGCGTTTTTATAAACCATAATTTGTATTTTCAACTCCCATATAATTTCACAAAATTTAATCAAAGTTATATTTTTTCTAATGTAAAATAGCATTAAAATAATATTAATAAGTGTACTCTCATGTACAACACTTATTATGAATTTGTACTCTTGAGAACACATTTATGCATTCATATATTTATTAGGTCTTAAAATAAAACTAAAAAAAAATATAGTATTTTGCTTATTTACGCACAAACTAACCTTTAAATTGATAAAAGTTTAAGAGGTTTCTGGTGTAACGAAGAATTGTGGCATGGCCGGCATTGTGTCATTGGGTTTTCGCTGAGGTCCGCACGTACCAAGCTGCGAGTGTGTGCATGTAGAGTACACACTCATGCTTTATTTTGTTTGTTGAGGTACGGCACAAGGTCGAGTGGCAAGGGCTCAGACAGCAGAGTAGAAGTAGAGCGAAGAGAGAGAGAGAGAGACAGACAGAGAGAGAGAGAGAAAGAGAGAGACAGACAGACAGAAAAAATAAGAAAGAAAGACAGAGATAGAGAGAAGAAAGAAGAGATCGGGATTTGCGCATGCATTCTCGCACCGATCTTTATATTAGTTTTCTTTAAAGTATAGCGAAGACCGTCACGTGCACGTTTTTACTGTGCTTCATTTGAGTTTTTCCCCGCGTCCTCGCCAAGAATAGTTTGTAGACGCGCCTGGTACGCGGAGTGTTTGGATTATTGGCTGAGTCACGCTCAACCACAGTATTGAGTGGTTACCCGACACAGGTGCTCATGTCAGTGATACCAACGAGGTGACGCAGGTACGTGCGTAAGCGGCCATTATCACTAACGAAAGAGGCGGGCAACAACAATTCCAGCGTCAGCAGCAGCAACAATTCCAGCATCAGCAACAAAAGCAACAACAATAGCAAGAGCAACAGGAACAATGACAACGGTGAGAGAAATAGCAACAACAGCGACAGCAACAGAAGCAATGACAACGACGACAATAACGGGAACCACAACGGCTACATTGACGACGACAGTTACAACACCACTAATGACGTCAACCACAACGACGGAGCCAGGCATCAACGGATAAGGTTGGTATTGCATTTCTCTTTCTCTCTCTCTCTCTCCTTTTCTCGCATGCTTCAGGCGTCAGCCTATCACGGGTAGCGTGCTAGATCTGACAGCAACATCGTCGGTCGCGATCGCCGATTCTTTTGTACGGGCGTCAGATTATTGTGTTTGCTATACAAGTATGGTAAAAGTATAGTGAAATCGGGTGACAATCCTACCACCCATTCATCTTCGCGAGCGTGTAATCTGTTGGGCGGATAGAAGAGCGGATGTTGGAGTCACTATTTTGAGTTTTTGTTTTGTTGATTTGTTTTCATTGTTTCTTTTTTTTTCTTTGTTATTCTGAATAAAGGCCTTAATGTTAAATCGCCGTCAGGTTTGCTAACCTAACCATCAATCCTCATCCTGAATCCAGTCCGCGCGATTGACGCGTTATAGCTCGACGCGTTAGTTAGTCGTGGGAATGTTTACATCTCCTAAATCCCCCTTAAAAATAATTTGTACTGGCGGCCGCGAGCTAGACTACTAGCGAAAACGGCCGTCTTACACCGTTACATGTCATTCCTTGTAAAGATTTTTACGATACGCGCGTGATTTTCGATCGCGATAGGCAAGGAGTGACGGTTGCTCGAGAGCGCGATTGAATCGCCGGGCAGTGGCAGAGGTAAAGTTCGAGATTTGAGTATTCATGTGTGATAGCTTTACGGAGCTAGATTAGTAAGCAGTGAGTTCCAATAGGTAGCCTGAGTGCGTCTAGGCTAGACTGAGTGTACGGGATGAACTGAGTGTGTGTGACCTGGTGGTGCGACAATCGAGTCAATTGCACAGAATCTGCTTGTGTGCACAGTAGCCGGATCAGTCGCGCAGTAGCCGAATCGGCTGCGTGGGAGTTGGATTGGCTGCGCAGAGGCAATTGATCGCGCAGAGGTAATTGGCATGCGCAGTAGCAGATCGGTAGTTCGTATGAGCAGTAGCTGGTTTGACTGGACAGTAACAGGTTAGCTGCGCAGTAGCCCAGAGACGTGCCTAACCGTAGTCTGAGGATTGCTCTATCGAATAAGAGAGATCCAAGAAGCTTACGAGTGGGACAATAAGATTCTCGGAGTTACTGCATACGGCTGACCCATGTCTTGGGAACGCAATAAAGGAGCTGCAAGCTCCGTCGGTTCCAGTGAGACGGAAATCGTTGAGAGTACGACTGTTTGTTTGACAATTTTTGGTACTAAGAATCCTATTGTTGGCGTGGTTACGAAAAACCATCCACTACTCGTAATGCTCATCGGCGGCAGAACATATAGTGCATTGTTCGATATTGGTGCACAGGTATGGGTAGTGGATCACCGAATCACGTAGGACATTCAAGCTTAGATCAAGGAAATTCATGGTGTAGGGAATGACTTCTCGGAGACGTCAGTTATCGTACTAGGGATACTGTGACTGGTGATCGAGATCGATACGACAGTCCAGTTAATCGAAGCATACAGTACCACTCAATGACATTTGCCACCCTGTTGACTAAAAATTTAACACTTTAAAATTTTATTTCTAGACTTAGAATAGTTTTAAAAAACCCCATGGATACTTATTTTGTAGGATTTTCTAGTATCTATCAAGTAACATAAACTACATAACTTTTCTAATTTTTTTCCAAAACTATGACGTTAGAAGTAAAAAATGAAATTGATTTTTTTGCCAACCTTGATGTCATATAATTTAAAAAGAAGTGAGAAGAGGTAAAATCTATCTTTACCATTTAAAAGTTTATTCCAAATGCTACAAACCCCACGTCCAAAAAATTTCTTTTCATACGATTTTTTTGAGCTGTATCGTATTTTATTAAAAAACACATGTTACGAATCAAATCGTTATATCTCGGAAAATATGCTTTTTACAAAAAAACTTTAAAGAAAAAAGTTATTGCATTTCGGTTATAAAAAACCATTTATAAACTCATAAAACAATAAAAAAAATTTTTTTTTTCGTTTGAAATTTTTTATATCAACTTTTGAAAAACTTTTGTTCAGAATATCTCGAATTGGTAAAGCAGTTATTAATAACAACGGTGGTTTTTTTTGATGAAAAAAACGTGTAAATTATACGAGGGTCGTTTGAAAAGTCCGTGCAAAAATAATAACTGCTTGATTTTTTTTAATAAATCTTTTTTATTTTTCAACATAGTCTCCTTTTAGGCTTATACACTTCATCCAACGCTGATCTAGTTTGTTAATCCCTTCCAAATAATAGGATTTGTCCAAGTTTGTAAAATAGGCATTCGTTTCTGCAATCACCTCCTCGTTTGAATAAAATCTTTTCCCCACCAACCATTTTTTCATATTAGGGAACAAATAGTAGTCCGACGGAGCCAAGTCTGGAGAATAGGGGAGATGTGAAACGAGTTGGAATCCTATCTCCATCAGTTTTACAGCCAAAACTGCTGAGGCGTGAGCTGGTGTATTGTCGTGGTGGAAGAGGACTTTTTTGTGGACCAATCGTGGACATTTCT